ATCAAAGACCGCTTCCTGTTTCAGTTGGAACGATATTCGAAATATCGCAGTGCATTTTCACAAAGGAAACTGCTCACAAGGATGCTGACGACCGGTTTTGCCCTTCTTGGAGCTCATCAGGTAGGCACAGTCTTCGAGTTTCAATCAAATCTATGTTCTACTTGAACCTGAATTGAACTGTTTTCGAGAAATACACTAATTTGCGGATTAATTTATTTTTCACGAGAGACTCAACTGAATCTCTCGTTTATGATATTCTAGAACTGGATGTGCGAAACCGGTCGTGGGCTCTCAAAGAGTTTTCAGCAACCTCGTGACTAGCTTCTTATATGAAAATATACTGCGCTATCTCCAATATCGTGCCAACCAAAACATGAAGCGGCCTGTGTGCAGCACATTCAGTTGTCGAATATCGTAAACGAGAGATTCAGTTGAGTCTCTCATGAAAACCAAATTGGTTTGCAAATGAGTCTATTTCTCAAAAACAGCTCAATTGGGGTTCAAGTAGAACATAAAATTGACGAAAACTCGGGGTCTGCGCCAACCTGATGAGCCCCAAGAAGGGCAAAACCGGACGTGGGCTGTCGAAGAATTTTCAGCAACCTTGTGAGTAGTTTCCTTTACGAAAGATCATAGATTCATTTGAATTAGGAACCTTCTAGTTTTATGTTATTAACTGATGTACTGCAAAGCCATCTGCTAAGTCTGTGTGTTTAGTGGTCAGAAACTTTCTTGAGTCTTTCAGGTCCGCTGGATGTGTAGTGTAATCTGTTTGTTTAGTGGTCATTCTTGAGTCTTTCATGTCCGCTGGAATGTGTAGCGTTCCTCATCTACTTGCGTAGTCTTTCAGAGATTAAAGTAGGCCTAAACACGTATGCACTTTAAACGACCTAGTTACTTGACTCGATAGAAACTGGATTGTATGACATTAAAGTTTAGACTTCATTTTTTGGAGTTCTACTGGAGTTCTACTGCTGAGTAACTGAAAGCGCTAGTGAGCACTGCCAAACTTTTCCGCCAATATCACATAGCTTGAGAATGATAAACCCTCGCAAATTTAAATAAGTTTAAATTCAACCACATTTAAATTATTTTCGTTAAATTAAATTTGGTAGCCAGAATTTGAAAAAAGACACCTACAATCGTCCAGCCTTTGTACTTTTTTGGAGAAAAGACTACGTTACAGCTGGGCTAGGCTATAAAACAGATTCAGAAAATTTTTGATAGATTTTACTGCACCCTGTGCGCACTTTCAAATAGTGATGATCTCAAATGTGTGGCACAATTTTTTAACGATTAATGAAGCAAAACCGTAAAGGTGGAGGTGTTTTGGAACTATTATCCTGGATGCTTTATGTTTTTAACTGCAGAACGATACTACTCGCTATTCGCAAATTATTTCCAGACAATTTGATTTCAACGATTATTCAGCTTAATGTGAGTGGAATCTGTCATTTATAATGGAGTACAAATTGAGTTCAAGTAGAACATAGAACATGATGAGCCTCAATGAGGACATAAATCGGCTGTGTGCTGTCTAACAGTTTATAGCAGCCTACTGGGTAGTGTGTTCTACCAAATAAATTTACTCAACTAAGTTGCTGAGATTTATTCTGCCAAAAAAATTTACTCAACTAAGTTAGTAAGATTTTCAAATGATTTGCTGACATTTTACCTCGTTTGAAACAAAGTGTTTAGGTACCAGAAACGTTTCAAAGCAGAATACAACGCCAGGGAATCAGGCTAAAAATTGTTAAATCCAGCTGAGCTACCTTATTCCATAAAAGTCTCCAATACAGCTCAAACAGATCGGAATTTCCGCTTTGAAGTGACGATTCAACGTAGGAACACAACAAGCCCTCTAAATCTGAGACATCCCGGTACGTATCTGATTCCTGGTGTAGTTTAACTAGATTTTGGTTCTTCCCAAACGGGACAAACACGAGATCAAATAGTCTTTAGTAGCTAATGAGACCATCGAGGTCTCGGATATTTTTTCAAAGTTTCACTAAAACACCAGTTACGATCCTAAGCAGCAAGCAAAGGTATCCAACTCCATAGAAGTCATCAGTGTGCATATCTACATATCCTCGATTTGCTCACATAGGACATTTGTGCTGCAACGACCATGTAGTAACTGCATAACCCAGGTTGGTCTTCATAAACAAGCCTATTTGTCGAACGCCTTGCTCGGTTAAACAGATAAACTTTATAGCTTTCTGAGGAGATGTTGTAGTTTTCAATGGATATTTTTCAGTGTCAGTGATGCCAATCTATTCTTATAAAGACTGATGAGCACTGTACAGCTGTTTCATCTTTATTGAGAATCATTAGTAGTGTGCACCTCATGAAACCCAGGGAAGTTTCGAATCCGCAACCTCCCAATTAGTAGTATGAGCTGCTACTCAGTAGTGTGATTAAGTCTCTATTGGATGGGACTTTTCTTGGCCCTGCTAGCGATAGCCATTTGGACTTTCCCTTCCACGTACTTTTACTTCCACCTCCCCCTACCCCATAAATAACACTGTCTCTGCAGGCCTACCAGTTGGGACTGATGACGTCATTTATCTCGCCTGGATTTTGAGCATAGCTGTGTTCCAGCAGACACTGACATCCTCAGAAACCTGTAAACCAATCTTCAAGCCTCTATGAACAATCTCTCTGGTTCCTCTGAAATAAACGGGATAACAAGCTGCTCTTGTTCCCACACACTGGAATCGCTTGACACTGATGTGTGCTCTGTATCAGAAACACGAATTCAAGATGCAGGCACAGTGGTTGAGCTAGCTTACCCTGCACTCGTTTTTGGCTACACACCTCTGGCGATCCAGAGGCTGCCGCGGCACGATATACAGGGGTTGGTAGTATCCCAACCAACCGTAGCTCTGACACCATCAAAGACAAGTTTTATCACTCCTTGAATACGATGAGTTGAAAGCTCAGATATCGTTGCCGAAGATGTGAATGAAAAATTGGGCAGGCTTGGCGCATCTGAGACTCACTTAAGTGATCGACATGGATTGGATCCAGTAGGTATGGACAATAAAACCCAACTACCGTCGCTACGTGCTGATTGAGGTCTATTTTTATGCAGTACTAAATTCTTGCTGATTGTGAACTGTTTTGATGCAATACTAAATTCCGAAATAACCGAAATAATCTGGTCACGTGGCGTCCCCCAACAGCGTGCCAGCCACGAACCCAAATTGGTCACATTGCCATCTATTACCGATGGTGCAAATAACCAAATTGACTGCCACTCGTTTTGGAATACATTTGTGGTGTCCTACGGGCGCTCATCGACAGTCGCTTCTCCCTTTGCCTTCCAGGTTTGCGAAAGGTGTGGAAAAATGGTTCGGCGTCTAAGATCCGGATGTCAGACGAATTTACCGGAATCGTCTCTTAAGGCCCCTTCCAACTTCTCTACCATCAGATGTGAACTCAATTTAGGACAAGATCGCCAGTGCTGGGAGATTTATCTGTGGCGCACCATTAGTAGGCTCGCTAAAGCACCGGATACTAGTGGCTATGTTTCAATCTAGGGTAAATTTCCCCGAACACGAATTAGTAGACTTCGGGTGAAAGTGAGCCTGTTTGACGACTGTGAAGCCTTATGGACTCTGGAATAGATCCAGAAGGCCCGGGAGGCCCGGGCCCGGTTGATGAGTCAGACCGGCACCAGAAAACCACATGTGGGCAAGATCACCAAGGCTCAAATTGGCACGACCACCTTGAATGAAGAACAAGACTTCGACCACTTGAACAACAATTCTTTCGGCCAGTTACTATTACTCATCTGGATTCTACAAGTGAAGCAAAACCTCCTACGGCTGCGTATGTTTTTTGAAGCACCGCCAACTACTTAGGTCGGATAACCTCCCGCCCACACTGTTCAAATATGGAGATAGTAGTAAGCCAGCGGTTGTCCCAATTCGGGAAAAATAACTGTCCGGACAACTGGAAAGGAAAGATGATAGTGCTCATTTTCACAAAAGGGGCTCGCATTGAGTAGGATAATCACAGGGGATCAACGTGACATCCGTCGTAATGAGTCTGTTGGCGTCACTTATCCTTCGTTGCCTCAAGGTTGCATGTGAAACACTAACTCGAGTGCAACAAGCATTATTCCAGCCAGGTAGGGATGGCGTTGACGTACAACTCACCAGGGCCTAGAACAATGCCATACGTATAAACAACTCACAATTTTAATATTCCTGGCTACGTTCAAGGAGAAGTCCTTGTCGGTCTGGAATATGCAGACAACGTCGTTCTCGTCTTCGAAGAGGAGATGAAGGTGCGGTTTTTTATGGTTATTTACCACGCGTCTTGCATCGTTGAATTTTATGCTCATGCTCCTGAACACCACGTTACTGAAAACACCAATTGCAATCTAGGGAGAGGCACTCGAAGTTGTGGGGCTTTTTAGTTACCTTGGAAGTCGTATAGCTTCGGAGTATGGTACAACAGACGAGGTCGATGGACGAATCTGCAAGGCCCTGATCATGTCTGCTAATTTGAGACACCTATGGCGTCAAAGCGGCATCTCACTGGATCCCAAAAGATCTGTTTATCAGGTTACAATACGGGCTATTTTGCTGAATGGCTGTGAGACTCGGCCCGTTCGAACATTAGAACTGAGACATCTCGACAACCGTTGTCTCAGAAGCATAGCTTTTATGGGTTGGTGTCGGAGAACCCGTAACGAGGCGGTTAGAAACCGACTGCTTGGCTGTACAACGGGGACTTCTTTTAAAGTATGCGTCCAACATCAGAAGCCGCATTGCTTAATCAATGCTGAACCATCGCTTGCCGAAAAGAATACTGTTTTCCTTGCCCGATTAAGAGTGGCGGAAGCAGAGATATAACCAACCCTTGACCTTGCACAGGAGCACGAGGAAGATTACAAGAAGTTTTGATGCTGTCGGNTGGCCTGTGGGGTCCCCTTTGGTGGGGGACGCTGAAAGTTATGACTGATAATGTGTATCAATAGACCCTTATTGTTATTTGCTATCCAGACTTCCTGAATAACTGCCCGGAGGTGTAGGTACGTCGGGATGATGGTGGTAGGTTAGCATCAGGTTCGCTTCCCATCCAATTTTATTCTCTTTTTAACAATGAAGTTTTTAAATTAATCATGAATGTACCGCAGGGAAACATGAGTTTCCAACATTGGTGTGGTGCTCTCTACGAAGATGACAGTGATGA